TGGGCAGGATGAGTTTGGACTCGGCAACAAAAAGATATATGCATGCCTAACTGGGACATTGTGTGGTACACCAGAAATCGACACATTGTAACTGACTGTACCTCAATAAAATTAAACAAATAAATAAATATATATGCATGCCAATATTTATTGCAGCATTAATTACAATAGCCAAGATACGGAAGCAACCTAAGGGTCCATGAATAGATGGATGGATAAAGAAGATGTGGTGTATATATATAATATATACATATATATATATTATATATATACACACATATATATATACATACACACATGCACACACAATGGAATATAATTCAGCCACACAAACACACACAGGAAAGAAATCTTGCTATTTGCAACAACAATGGATGGATCTAGAGGGCTTTATGCTAAGTGAAATAAGTCAGGCAAAGTCAATTATCATATGATCTCACTATGTGTAGAATCTAAAAAAAAAAAACAAAAACAAATAAATAAAAAAAAAAACAGACTTATAGATACAAAGAACAAATGGGTAGTTGCCAGAGGGGAAGAGAATAGGGGTAGGGCAAAACAGGTGAAGGGGATTAAGAGATATAAACCTCCAGTTATAAAATAAATAAGTCATGAGGATGTGATATACAGAATAAGGTACATGGTTAATAATACTGCAATAATTCCGTATGCAGACAGATGGCTACTCAACTTCCCATGTTGACCATTCCATAATGTATGCAAATGTCAAATCACTATGTAGTACACCTGAAACTAACATAATATTGTACAACTATATTTCAATTTTTTTAATTACATCTATTTTTACTTTTTAAAAAAGTGTAAAATTAGGGACTAATGTGAAGGTACAGTTGACCTTTGAACAGCACTAGTTTGAACTACAAGAGTCTATTTCTATGGGGATTTTTTTTCCAGTGAATACATACTACAGTTCTATACGATCTGACATTGACTGAACCTGCAGACACGCAGGGCCAACTGTAAAGTTACACAGAGATGATAACTGTAAAGTCATCCACTGTGTGGAGGGTCTGAGCCCCAAACTCCCACACTGTTTAAGGATCAGCTGTATTTAGTTAAAGCCTAAACTGCTTGGTTGAAATAAATATTACAGGAACTGAGGGCTGGGCAGGCATGGATTGGATTGGACCTTTCAGAGAAGGTTCCAGACAGAAAGTTAGTGTTGGTTAAAAATTAAAAAAAACCAAAAACCAACTTTGAAGCAACCAAGATGTTCTTCAGTAGGTGAATGGATAAACATACCATGGTACATCCATACAATGAAATATTACTCAGTATTTTTTTAAAATAAGAGCTATCTAGCCATGAAAAGACATGAAGGAACCTTAAATGGATATTGCTAAATGAAATCAGACAATCTGAAAAAGCGACATAAAGTATGATTCCAACTATAGACATTCTGGAAGACACAAAACTATGGAGACAGTAAAAAGATCAGCTGTTGCAGGGATTAGGGAGGAGGAGGGGATGAATAGGAGCACAGAGAATTTTTAAAGCAGTGAAACCACTCTATATGATACTGTAATGGTGGATACACATCACTATACATCTGTCAAGGACACATAGAAAGAGAAACTCACACAAAGAGTGATGCCTAATGTAAACTGTGAACTTTAGTTAATAACAATGTACCAATCAACACTGGCTCACAAATACAAGATGTTAATAGGGGAAACTGCTTCAGGTCAGGCAGAGACTAAGTGAGACTATATGGAAACTCTCTGTAGTTTGCACTCAATTTTTTTGTAACTGCTCCAAAAAATAGTCTATTGTAATCTTTTTTAAAGTTCGCAAGCTCTTCTCCCCAAGATTTAATATTCACTTGTTTCTCTTACCTTTTCTAAATATAACTTTTACAATTTAAATTAGTAGAGTATGTGGTATGGGAGGGGAAAAATTTTTTTTTCTCCTGTTAATGCCATCATCCCAACACCATTTACAGACATTTCTTCCCTCGGATCTGTGATCCTTTACGCAGCCTTACGTAGAGTAGGACCTAATAACTCTATTTCCTTTCAAATCATAGCCTATTAGAGCTAACAGACCATCAGAACCTAAATATGACAATACCCAAATGACTCATTTTACAGATGAGGAATTGGGGCCCAGATAGTACATAGAATAAACTGGTCATGCAACTGGTTAAAGGAAGAAATAGGACTAGTACCCAAGAGTTTTTCATCTATGTCAGAAGATAATCTAAATTTAATCTTCCAATTTTTCAAGCAGTTTAACCTCAGAAAATTTCAGAGATGTGTTCACGTATTAATTGAGGTGTAGTGGGCAAAACGGGGCACCTCATGTGCATATGAACCTCAGGAAATCAAGGATAAGACAGAACCCTGGAGCTCTTCCCCAGCCCAGTCTCTGGGGAACATGCTCCAAGTTCTAGGATGGAGGGAACTGTAAGAAACTGAAAAAGTGAAACCACTCTTGAGCATGGGTCGGAGGTAAGGATCCAGAGTCAGCCAGCAAGGACGTCTACCTACCAAAGGAAGAAAACTGAATTCCAATTTTAAGGCAGGAACTGCCTGGGGAAAAGATAGCAGGAGTCTTAGCAGAGGCGCCAAAGGGGAAATAACTTTAGCCACAGGAGAAAGAACAAGAACAAAGGAGGCAAGTCTCCTGAGAGTTGCGAATACCAATGGCAAACTAGGTTGGGTTCATAATCTAAAACTCTGTCATAATATTTACTCAAGCCTGAAGTCTCTGAGAGGATGTGGTGCAGAACTGAAAAGTTACACTTCTAGTGTGAACAAAAAGGACCCCCCCTCCACCTCAGGGGAGAAAAAGTGCTGTTCCCATTGATCCTCTCCCCCCATGTACCCACACTTCATTGTAACATCTTGCTTATGTGCAAACCCTTTGAAGTATTTTTGTTACGTAGTGCAACTTCTACGTGTGGAAAGACATTGCCATTCAGCTAACCTTTCCTGAAAACAGTTTGGTACAGTATATCAAAAGCCTTAAAAATGTTCTTAATTTTTGACCCAGAAATTCCTCTTCTAAGGAAATAACCCCATTGACAAAGATTTACGCACAAAGATGTTTATTATAGCATATTTTTAATACTATACAAAAGTATTACACCTAAGTATTCAACAACGGAGTTAAATAAATAACGTTATGTTCATTTGATCAAATATCATGCAGCCATGAAAAAAAAATGATAGTCTTGAAGAATTAACTGGGAAATGTTATAAAACAACGTTAGACAAGAAAAGCAGGTAACTGTTGTTCGTACTGTATAAACTCTATTATGCTTTTTTAATAGGAAAACACTAGGTGGAAGGATGCCAAAATGTTACCAGTGGTTGCCTCTGGATGGCAGGACCCAGAATTATAATAACTGACTTATCTTCTGCTTAAAAAAAAAGTGAGGGGAGGGTATGGCTCAGTGGTAGAGTGTGTGCTTAGCATGCACAAGGTCCTGGGTTCAATCCCCAGTATCTCTATTTAAAATTAAGTCAGTAAATAAACCTAATTACCCCCTTCCAAAAAGAACCTTAACTCCTAAATGCCAGCAGGTCCAGTTAGATTCTGGAGGTTAAGGTTTCTGTTTTCTGTATTCCTCTACCTCACTTACAAAGCCCTCTAACCTGAACCACTTGCGATCCAAAGGAATAATATGCCAAAGATGAGGAAAACATGCAGAAGCACAAGACATCTTGCTTTGGGCAGAAATCTGCACCTCCACACCAAGGGAGTTTCCACGCAGGACTGGAGAAAGTGAATATAGAAAGAACTAACGGAAGATGGATCAAAGGAAGGGGGAAACATGGGTCTCTCAGACATGGCTTGGCTCTCTAACTTTAGAACTATGCCTGGGAATGAAAGCAATCCAGCCCCGGTGTCAGACTCTAGAGCTCCTCCACCAAGAGGCTTCACTATAGCCCTAGAGGAAAGTAGTTGCTTTCTTTGGATGAGGAACAGGACTCTAGAGTTTGAACTCCTGTAGCAACAGTAAAGTGGCTGGGAGGGGAAGATGAAAAGACTGTGACAATAAACTGAGTCTTTAGAGAAGATTTTCTCAAATTTTAGTGGACTTAAGGGTTAACAGGGGGGTGGGGGGGAAGGGATAAATTAGGAGTTTGGGATTAACATATACACACTACTATACATAAAATAAATAAACAACAAGGACCTACTGTAGAGCACAGAGAACTGTATTCAAACTCTTATAATAACCTATAGTGGAAAATAATCTGAAAGAGAATATATATGTGTGTGTGTATTACTGAATCACTTTGCTGTACACCTGAAACTAACATAACATTGTAAATCAACTACAGCAGTAAGTTTTTAAAATAAAAATAAATAAATAAAAGAAGTAACAGGGAGATTGTTTAAATCGCTGACTCCTAGGCTCTACCGCCAGAAATTCTGATTTAATGTGTCTGGGGTAGAACCAAGAATGATGCATTTGTATCAAACAATTCCCACCACCACCACCAAAAGGCTTCCTGATGCATTGAGCACAGCTTTAATCACCTGGAGACGCCAGAAGAAATGAAATGATAAAGATAAGAGCAGAAATCAATGTCACTGAAAACAGGAAATCAACAAAACCAAAAGCTGTTTCTTGGAAAGAGCACTACAATTAATAAACTTCTAGCCAGGCTAACCAAGAAAGAAAGACACCAACTACTGATATCAGGAATGAAAGAGGGGCTATCACTGCTGGTCCCATGGACATTAAAAGGATAATAGAGAAGTATTATAAACAATAACCAAAAAAAATCTAGGAAGTCTGAAATTGTAGGCAAAATACTGTGTGTGCGCACTTCTCTGGAGAAGGTCCATAATTATCACCAGATTCTCAGGAGTCCCATAACTCAGCAAGGCTAAGAACTGTCTTGATGAGCACAAAAAGAACTAGGGAAGCTCACTTGGGCATTGGGTCAGAGGGGCAAGGGCAGGGTTTTGAAAAAAGAACAGAAAGTTACAAAGCCAAACTATTAGAAACCAAGCAGACACAGGATGGAGTGATGCGAAAGCCAAGGAGGTGCAGAACCATGAGGAGGTAACTGAACTGTTTTCACCTGTAAGTCTGGAATGTTAATGGCTGTTATTAGCCCCAGGAGCTTGGTGTGTGGGTGTGTGGCTTAGGGTGACATCATCTCCAAGGGAGAGTAATGGGGGGAAGGTGGGTGGACTTTCCTAGGCAACGTTGTGGAGATAAGGGAAGAAAAGGTGCTTAATTGGTGGGTTTTACAGTTTGGAGTTCACCTCATATAAGAAGCTGGAGACTGTCAAGTAGTCCTGGTGGGCTCGATCTGAGGCAGCTGTAGTTGAGAGGGGGCAGCAATGATAGAAGTGGTCACCATGAGCCCAGGTAACCGGCAGCATTCCCTTCCTCCCCACACTATCAGTCATGGTTGCACAGGAGGACCAGACTAGAGACTGGTCGAAGACGCTGAGACTGCAGCAAGGAGGACAAGTTCTAGTGCTCTGCCAAGAATGGGACAGAGGAGGGAGCGGGGTTCCAGCCCCAACTCTAGGAGGTGCTCAGTGAGACTGACTTTATTAAAGGAATGAGCATATTTCCACACCCTCTTGATTGTCCTTTGCAAACTGGGAAACAAGTATTACAAATACTATCATAAAAGGTTCACCTCCTGGACCGAATCTTCATTAGCTGAATTCCCCTCAAAACAAACTTCTCATTCATGTGTGATATCACAACAGTCTCTTAGCTGCTTTCCCTACCTCCAATCTTCTGCCTACAGCCCAAGTGAGAGTCTTCAAATATTCAACTGTTCCTCCAATGGTTAGAGACAATTTTCAAAGCCTCAGAATCCTGTTTTTAAATGAAATATGAATTACTGAGAAGCCCAATTTAATAAAATAGTCAGAAGCAAAGCTGTTCTTATTAAAATGTGTGAGTGACCTGGTGTCCCCTCTGCTCAGCCCCACCCTCCCATCCTTGTGGCCGCCCTGGTGGCAACACCACAGAACTCTAGGTGTCCATGGCGGTTTGAAACCCATTGGCCTGCATATGGCAGGAAAAGAACTTCATAACCCAAGCACTACAACTGCCACCACCATCCTTCCTTCTAGTCCCATTTCCTGCCACTATCTAAGTGCCTCTGTGCCTCATCTACCTGGAACAATTAGCTCCCAAATTGTTTTCGCCATTAAAAAAATTATTATTAAAAATTCATAAATATCAAATCAAATATTATAATAAACCTCCATATACCCGTAACCCAGATTTAATGATATCAGCTCACAGCCAATCTTGTTTCATTTATACTTCCCTGTTCACTCTTGCCCCATACTACTTAGAAGCAAACTTCCTCATAACATTTCATCCATTAGAATTTCATTACATTGCTTACATTGACAAGGAATTAATTATAATCCACAATACCAGTGTCACACCTAAAAAGTAATAATCCCTTAATAAAATCAAGAATCCAGTGTTCAAATTTCCAGTTTTCTCCTGTCACTTTTATATCAGGATCCAAATAAGGTTGGTGCATTGAGATTGCTGATGTCTCTTAATCTATGGAAACTGATTCTTTTAATCTGTAGATATCCTTCCATCATTTTTGCAGTTATTTTAAGAATTAGGTTATTTATTTTGTAATTCTTTCCCCATTTTGCTAATTGCATCCTCATGGACCAGATTAACATCTCCCCAATCCTCTGTATTTCCTATAAAATAGTAACTGGATATAGAGGTTTGATCAGACTCAGGCTTGAATTTTTTTTTTTTGAAAAACTACTTTGTAGGTGGTATCTGATTGTTTCCTTTTGTGATGCTAGCAGCTGTTGTTGCTCAATGCCTAAGGTCTTTTTATTAAAGATTAGAAAATAGTGATATTCTATTTCAATCACTATTTATTAGATAAAATGTTTTTATATAAACTTCCCCTCACCTACAATACCAACACCTCAATACTTTTGCACATTACCCTGTCTGTTCCGCATGACTTCACATCTCCAGCTGGTGGAATGCTAGTTATCCTTTCAAACCAACCTGAACATCACCTCTCAGTGAAGCCTTACCCTCCCTCCCAGGAGAGCTCACCCCTCTTCTAATGTAGAAATGTGTCATTATAATAATGCTTATAAACATATAAATGTAATGCCTGACATAAATTCAGCGTCTCTATCCCTGGGGCTGGAGCACCTCAAAAACAGGAACAGCCTTTGGCCCTCGCCTCTGTATATAGTAGTAATTGAACAGATATTTGCAGGATGAATGAAATATTAATGGAGCTAGGATTTTACTTCAGAAGTCAGTTATCACTTAAGTGACATTATGTAAAATACAAGTTACAAAGCAACTGGCAACGAGGTAACCAGAATAAGAGTTACCAGAATTTAAGACACTTTACAAGTAAAGATGGAGTATAGCTGAGCTACCAAGTGTCCAGTCAGACATTAACCAGACTGAGAGGAGAGCTTGGGGCCTGACTTCAAAAAGACAGAAGAGGCATGGTGAGATCAGGCTGAGCCAGGATCCTCCGTAGGAATTCCACCAGGAACAAGTCAGAAGCAGGTTAGATTTGAACCCTGGTAGCACATCAGTACTTAAGAAGGGAAAGGAGGTCCTGAAAGAGGACTAAAAGGACTAGAGTTTGTTTCCTAGAATGCTGATGATGTCACAAGGGGCAGGAGATTAGAGAACTCTCTGGCTTAGGAAAAATTTTTCTTTTTAAAGATTGCATGACTTCCCAGTACAAAGAAAAGTTAAATAGCAACAAAGAGACTAGGGTTTGCTTTGATCTGTTTCATTTTTGGATGATGTGCTTCTCTTCTGATCTTCCTATATATAGTGTTTGGATCTTGTTCAGGGGTCTGGGGCCTGGAAACCTGGAGGGCATAGATTCAACCTTTTAACTCTTCTTCCTCTGGCATAAAACTAAGTTTCCATATCCTGAGGGGCCGGAGAAGTGAACAATTCACTCAACAAGATATGAAAATATTCTGTCTTTAAGTCAGATTGACCAACTCACACAACCAGCCAGCAAACAATTTTTATTTAAACTTTGCTCTAATGGAAATTGTCTTGGAACTGTTCTCTTCACCCCTTCTCACACGTCACTCGCTGTCCTTTTTCTGCACACACCTATTTCATCTGCACATACTATGTGATGTCCCAGTACCGTAATATTGAAGTAGGCCCCTCACCACCTCCTGTAACTGGTACCCTGCAAGCTTAGATTGTTCTGTCAGAGGTAGAACCAGATCTAATCCCCTACCCTCCTCTTGCCTTCTTCCATCTCTACGTTTGAAGGTGACATGCTCTGTTCTTTAGTGGTTAATCTAGCTAATATGTATGGTTTCATACGTCTTAAGTTAATCAATATCTTTACTTTCCTCCTGAATATAACATGAAAATTAGTGCTCTCATCACCCCAAGTTACATGCTATCGTTGTCCAGTATTTTAATTTTAGTCCGTATTTCCCTCCCAGAAACTACATATTGCTTTCACAGTTATTGCTTACTTACTTTCACCAACATCGTTGACCACTATCTTTGGTCAGTGTTCCTTCTTGCATTTCCATTTCAGATCATTTTCCTTCTGCCTCAGGACATCCTGTATTACCTGTTTGGAGTGGCAAATACTGCTTTTGTCTGAAAATGTTTTGAATTAGCTTTCTTTAAAGTTTTACTACTGTATAGCACAGGTAACTATATTCAATTTCTTGTAATAACATGTTAATTATTATATAATGGGAAAGAATCTGAAAAAACATATGTATATGTATAACTGAATCACTATGCTGGTACACCTGAAACTAATATTGTAAATCAACTAAACTTCAATTTAAAAAATTTAAGTTTCAGAGTCAATTACTATCAGAACAGTTCTTTTGTTAACAGGATGAAGGGTAAGCATCCCGCAGTTTCCTGGCTTTCACTGTTGAAGCTGAGAAGTCCCCCATCGGGGCTGTTTTCTGTTGGTAGTCTGTATCTTATCTCTAGCTGCTCAAGATAGCGCTTACCTTGAAGTCTCTAGGCATGAGTTCTTTTATCTTGCTTGGAATTCATTTGGATTCCCAAATCTGAGATTTGGTGCCTTTCACCAAATCTGAAAATTTATCTAAACTATCAAGGATTACCTCCTTGAATATTGCCTCTTCCTATGATCTCCTCCTGGAGCTCCAGATAGCAATTAGGTCTTCTCATTCTCACGTCCTCTGTTGTCTCTCAACTTTTTTGCTGTTTTCCATTCTTCCTTCTTCTTTGGACTGTATTCTGTATGATTTCTTGAGATTTTCTAAGTCATTAGCACCCCTTCAATTTCTCCAATTTCATCTGAGTTTTTATTTCAAGTTTGTATTTTTCATTTCTAATGCAGAAAGGCTTCCCCCCTGCCCTCCCAAATCTGCTGGGTTGGTTATTGTCCTTATTTTCAAGCTTGTTTTAGTTCATTAATCAACAGTTATTTCATTAGTCTGTGTAACAGTGGCATCACCTGAACCATTTAAGGATCAGCTTCTGAGTCTCTTTTACCCTTTACCACTTGTGGTCTTTTTTTTTTTTTAACCTCAGTGGCATACAAATTAATTTATTTGGGGGGTGGGTAATTAGGTTTTAGTATTTATTTTAATGAAGGTACTGGGGAATGAACCCAGGACCTTGTGCATGCTAAGCACACACTACCACTGAGCTATACCCTCCCCCCCATCACTTGTGTCATTTCTTTGTGCATCTTATAATTTTTGAGCAAGGCTGTTCATTTGCCCTGGAAGTTATTATATATGAGAACTGAAGCCTTAGAGGGATTACATTTGCTTCTGAAAACACCTGGAGGTATGACCAACTGTAAGCAGATAGAGCAGGGGTTCCCCTGAGGAAAAGAACCAAATGTAGCTTTTTACAAGAGAAGCCATTTTAGCCCCAAGCCACTTTCTGATCTACCTGGCCACAATATTTGCCCTAGAACAGGTCTCAGTGATAATGATCTTAAGGGAACAAAAGAACTGTTATCAGGCAAGAGAAGTAACAACAACAAAGATAATATTAAGTCAGTTGTAAAGACTCCCAGTTCTGTTTCAATGGTAAAGATCAGTCAACCACTGGAACCTAAGGGAAGATGACAATAACCTTTTCTGACCCTCTTGCCTTCAGTCAGCTGAAAGTTGGGCTCTGTCAACCTTAGCCCCAATTCGATGCTGAATTCTCCTCTGCTCAAGCCACTTTATGAATATGCATATACCCTGAGCTTAAAAATTACCCAACTTTGCTGTTCATAGAGCCACTGCTTTGGGAGAGATCCTTGGTGTTCTCCTTACTTGCTGCACTAAATCCTTCCTTCTCCCCAACTTTGGCTTGGTTCTTCTGGCTCAACACCCAAGAGGCAAACCCAGTCTTGGGGTAACAGCAAGAAGGCTGAAACAAGTAAGTTCTTTGCTGCCCCCATTATACTCTATATTATTTCTTGTGCACCTTCACACTGAGGGGATCCCAGCTTTACTTGCAATTACTATAGATTCATTTCGTTTCCCATACCCTGTGTAGTCACTAAAATAGATGTTTAAAGCCTGCTGAGTTTGGCAAAAACAGTAAAGCTAGCTTTAGCAGTTGTTTACTTCCTAGGATTCCAGTTTTCACTTCATTTTGAAGATCTATGGATTCATTACTTTTGTGCTTGTTCAGCAATGTGTTTATACGGATTTTTTTTTATAAATACATTTTACCGAGCATCTTGTTTCTGTTGAAAGTATTTTTCAGAGTATCTAATCCACCACAGTGCTGAAAACAGAAGCCTGAATTAGTTCCAACTATACACTACACTCCCCTGACCCTTGATTCTCGTAACAAGAGTGGGCTGTAAAAAGGGCCAGAGTTCAAAGTTTACAAAAGACCAATGATAAACTTTGCCCTAGAGATGGAACAAAAAGACTGAGGTGAAGAGCAGAGTAAGGGCCTGCACATTACCACAGATGTGCATTCAAACTATTTGTCCATAAGCGCTAGATATCTAGGGAAAGACAGCAAGATAGCAATCCCCTCTGTATCCTCAATAAATGGAAGAATCTGTCCTGTTCAACAAAAAAGATAGAAATGTATATGGTAAGAAGTATAGCACTTTTTCCTCAACTAGAAAAAAAAAAAGCTAGTTGCCACATGCTCCTAAATTACATGAACAGGTGTAAAGCTCAATTTATTCGTGGTTAGCTGACTCTGGTTATTTCGTACTACATAAAAGGGGGAAAAATGTAAGTCAGGATATAATAATGCAGACAGAACAAGATAATTACTTTCACTGATGCTTTCCCTACCTCACTTCCTCCAGCTTCCTCTCCATCCATGTCTGCCCCTAAATTCTCGATGGATCGGCTGATGAACTAATGCTTTAACTAACACAGACAACACGAAAGTCAAGAGGTCTTAAGGTTGTATGAAAAATAAATTCGCTCCTACAGTGTGCAGTTTGTGTACATGCGCTTTCTTAAGAAAGGTTGTCTCTCAGGAGTGATTTAAGTTTCCAGACATACTTCCTTGGCTTTGGCCAGTGAGGTCACTTGCTCCCCTGTTGTGATACCCATTGTAGCCAGAGGTGAGATTTTGTTATAGCCGTCAACTTCAGGAGTTTCTCTATGCCCTAGAGGCCCCTATATCAAGGGCTAAGGCCACCTCTCAGGGTATCATCTACATGACATTAATTGCAAAAGAAATCTCTCCTACCCACATGCTACATAGCCTGTCACTATTATCAAATTTCAAAGTAAGCAATTCATTCCTTGAGAGAACATTGTTTCCTCTATGAACTCTCCTTTACTGTGCTTACCACCACCCCCACGAAATCAGTATTACTGCCAGTGGTGTTAAGCCAGTCATCCTGGCTTCTAGTTTGAGGCTGAAATCTTAAGCAAGTCTCTAGATCAGTCTCTCAAGTTGCAATTAACTGACCAGAGATATTGGAATGACCTAGGTTACTTAACAAGATTTCAGACTCCTGAGTCCCACCTATTGAAGCAGTTTTTGGAAATGGAGTGTAGGAAATGTCTTTTTAACAAGCTTCCCAGGTAGTTCTTGTGTACTTGCTCAGATCTATAAGGCTAGATCTAGTTGGTCTATAACTCCATCTATGAAAATAACAAGATGAACCTTTACTATCCTATACTTCAGATATAAAGATACACAAAATGAGAAATGATCTAGAATGATGGTCCTTAGTTCTTTCTAGGTGAGACTTCTAATTTGTAACAAATTGCATTAGTTCAGCAAGAAAGAACAAATGGCCAAGTGAGGTCAGAGCTTTGTCAGAATGTCATAGCAAGACTCATTACAGCTATTCCAAACATGTTCACAAAAAAGCCTCACTGAAGCAGAAGAGTGGATGAACATAACCTACAACCTAAGGAGGGGAGGGAGGTGGGCGGGGGGGGGGCGGGCCTCAGGCTCTAAAGGATCTAGGAATAAGTGGGCAAAACCCACAGGATTCCTAAAGCTGGTGTAAGAGATAGAGAGACTTCAAAGGCATTACTAAGTGTCAAGAAACAAGAGACACAGGGACTTCACAGATCATTCTTAATACCTTTAGTTAAGGACAGAGAAATGTTTTGAAAAAATACCGATCTCAGCTGCATAGAATTTTCATGGATTGTAGTCTATATGAGAAAGGATGTTTCATTCTCTAATCTAAACCTGACATCCACAACAATGCCTGGCATATTGAAGATGCTGAGTAAATATTGAATGAGATAAAATAAATGGACTGATCCAGGGAGAGGGGAGAAGAGTAAGGTTTGTATATAGATCAATGCCAGAGGATAATAAAGAATATACTGGCTATTCACCAGTAGCCAGGTTTTTCTACACAGATAATAAAAAATCATCCCAACTAGGGCTACCAAACTTCTTTGGAAAGCAAACTCTAATAGCTTTTTGGTTCTGTGCTTCATCTAAGACTGTCAGACATGAATCAAGCTTTAAAGGATATCAGCAATACTACTTAGATCTCCTGATCTCACTACCCAAGAAAGTTTTAATACCCAAGACCTAGTTCAACAAAATTGAGACATGAGCATCACCAGAAGCAGCTATATATTTTTAATCTAAAGATTGGGCATACAGAAAGCATTTTACATAAATTCTCGAGTCTTAGTATGTAACAGGAAATATGAATCCCAAAGAAATAAGCATCTTTCCATAGGTCTTAATCCTTGATATCTGCAATAAAGACACCTCTGGTAATCCAACAAATATTTGCCTCCCACCCACATTACTACTTGGTAGGACACAAAGGAAGCTATAGACCTGCCCCTTGTCTTCTCACTAAAGGACTGCAGATAGCCTGAGAAGAAACATTATGGCCAGGGAGCCTTTTAATTCTACATTTTCCTATTTGTTAGGATGACGGTTGGAGCTGGCAGCTTCTAATCTTCCGCCCATAAATGTTCAAGAGGGTCATGTACTGCAATGAGCTTTATTCAATGTTAGTTTTGTCAAATGTTGCAAAAAAATCCCAGTGACTAAGGAAGTTATTAATTCTTTATACTTCAATTTCCTATCTCTAAGTTAGCAATAAGATTACTGTGCTCTACTTAGCCACATTTAATTTTTAAGAATCTTCAGGGGGAAAATTTTCACATATAATTTTTAAAAATGTTCCTTGTTAAGAGTTGGGATTGAGCTCAAAATAAATCCATCCTGGTACAACCCCTTTCTGGTTGCTCTGGAGAGAAAAAAAGACACTGATACATAAGGAAGTAACCAAGATGAAAAGG